CTTTTAATAAGTGGAGAGCGTAGATGTGTAGTAAACACCATACAATATCTGCAGAAATGTACAATTCTAAATGTGTGCACGTATTGCAGACCTGTTTTCACACACCTCATCATTTCCTGTCCCAATGAGTATTTTGTCTTCATCAGTGTGTAAAGCTCTGACAGGAGGCAGATTTTGCAGAAGCACTGAGCCTGGGCTCATGGATGCTCCCTCCACCTTGAATGCCTTGAGACACTGTTCAAACAGTGGGTCCCACATGGTAACGACACCATCTCTACCACCAGTCACATAACCCTGAATAAAATATTTTATAATATGCAATTTATTACTAAATAGCAAACAATCGTCTTGAGGTTTCCTACAATTTGAAGGTCATTGTAAATTTGCATGCAAAAGGGACTTTTTAGCAATAACACACCAAAAATACATAAGCTTTGTTGAGATCATTTGAAAGAGTTACAAAATTCCAGTTATTAATTTTTTACGATACTAACAAAAAGAAAAATACTGATCACTGTTAAACTGAGTGTCAATCAAATGCTTCATGAACTGACAANCTTTATACTTTTCTCCAAACTCATCAAACATTTTTTCAGCCTTGATAAACAAGTACTATATAGTACAATTAAGGAACACTACCTGTCCGGTAGCCACAAAGTCTTTGTCGTCATGAATGGTTAGACAGAGAACATCATCAGTGTGACCCTTGTAGAATCTCTGTTGATGACTTGCTGGACTGTACACTATCCCAAGAGCTGCTACATGAAACACTATCTCATTTGACTGTGTGTAGAACAGATTGTTACATGCATTGTAACCATGGTACCTGTCATGACAAAGAAGAATTGAGATGTGAAACCTTACCAGGCAATAAGAAGAAGCATTCTAAGCAGGCAATTTATCAATATTGACCATTATGCTGTAGTGTATTGATAACAAAGTGGTCATCAGTCTACCGCTCTCTTGTCATCTTTATTAACTATCAAGGACAACACTTGTAAGCATTGTCAATGAATTGCCCACTGATCAAAATGTCACAACACAACATTAAAAAAGCGGTGCTGCCAAAACTTACCCGAAGGCAAACTTAAGATCAAGTCCTTCAGGAGGTCCTCTCTTGCCTCGAGTTGGACTGACTGATCGTGGCCGCTCTTCCTCCTCCACTGTAGCCTTTTTGGTGGACTTGGATAACCTTTTATAAGTATCCAAATGATTTTCAAACAAGAAGTAAACAGTCAAGTAATCCATGGCCTATATTAAGTAACTTCTGTTACATGTAACTAACTAAAAAGTTTAAAAATTTTGAAGTCAGTGCATATTATATCTTGTCTACCAATGGCAATCTCCAGATAAATTTGTACCAGTAATTGTTTTCAAAGACAATACCCAGGTCATGGCTGGGGTGAGAAATACTTTATTCTCTTAGCTCATTATTATCAACAATGGACCCACCTACTTGCCAACCAGTCTTTGGTTTTGTTTCAACTACTTGCCATCCATTAGAATTTATCCTATGCTGGTTATACAGTGTATATGTACAGTGTAAGTCCTTATAGTCTCAAAGAGTCCTAAACACCTGCAAACATTTTAGTTTCATCGAGGTCTCCTCACCACTTAAACTGTAAGTTCAAATTACTTCTTACATTTTTATAATTATGTTCTTTTGCAGGAGTTTCATTAATATTTTCAGCGCGAGGGCAACTGGTTTTCACAGACAGGCAAAACTATTAGAAATGAACTTCTTTGTGAAAAAAACTTTCTGCTAGAAGGTCAAACCAGCCGAGCAAAATCATCCTCACAGCTAGTCAATTTCCCTGGTGCCCAACCCTTAATGTAACCCTTGTTTTGAAATAATAACAATAATGTTACTTTTATACAAAGTACCACATACAAGTACAAGTTACATATCACAATTGGTTACACTTTCTCTAAACTACAAATATTTCTGAGGTGTTCCTTACGCACCATGATCTTGTAGACATTAGATTTCTAGATTCTTGTATTGTTTGATAACCAGAAAATTTATAGTGTGATTTTGTTAGACCTTACCATCTTGTCCACTTCCATCAATCTATACTCTAAAATTGTTCACTCAAATTATTCTGACTAATATACCTTTAATTGACAATCTTATCATACCTTATCTTACCATGCATTACAATCTTATCATATATTTACCAAGAGTGCTGTCTCCTTGGGGTTTCTTCTTTTGGATTTAATGGACAAGATGCTTGGTCATGTGCCAGGGATAGACAAGCTTTACAAAGCACAGCCCTCCGAGCATCTCTAGATGAGGCCATAATCCACAAATTTTCATCAATAGTGCTCCAGTCTTTCAGGCCACTCTGAGAGGCTTTACGCCTGAAGGCAACATCATACCTCTGCCACGCTCTGTTATCTTGACATTCACGGTATAACCTGGTTATTATACCTTGGTATGCTAGTAAGTCTCTAATTCGGTTGGGAAAATCACAAGTAAAAACTGCAGTATAAGCAGCCATACAATCAGTCCATTTAGTAATGTCATCCACCCTTTCTGTTTCATCGACAAATGTCTTGTTTTTTGCATTTTCTTTGTCAAGGTTTTCTGGGAGGAGTTCCTGAAAGTTGACATATTTTCCTTCTCGTATTTGCTTAACAATTTCTTTGGGAACTGGAGGTTGGCCAGTGTGAACCTGATAGTCGGCAATAGGCACAGGTTTAGATTCAAAACTCCTGTGTAAGGGAGAAGTTGACCTTCCCTCAGCTGCTGCCTTCCATAAATTTTCAAAGCTTTTTGAGTGGCTCCCAGAGAAGTTTAAAGATGCATTTGGAGTTATAGAAGTGTTATACCTGTCATACTCATCATCTTCATCATCCTCATCGTCTGACCAATGAACATACGAGTACCCATTCCTCTTTTCAGAACCTCTTGACTGTGACCTCTCATTTCCTACAGTGCCATTTTGTGAACTACTCGCAAGTAGTGTCTCCCAAGCTGCTTTGGAGGTTTTCCCTTTACGTCCTTTCTTGGCATTTGTTTTTGCAGGGTCTAGTTTAACTTTCTCTCTTGTAAACATTGTAAACAGTGCTAGTGGCGCCCAGATATTTCATCGAGTCACGCTTTTCAAATTGTGTGACGATTTCAACGTTCTAAATAGTACCAAAGTCCTTATCAACTGCTTGTAAAAAATCCATCATCTATCATATTCCATAGTACTAAAGTGATTTTATCAACTGACCAAAGGTATTTTGTCGGTAAGGCGTACAAGATCGTAAAATGAACCCTTCAATTTTCTTTTTCCAAAGAGGCGTCGATCATCTATTCATTTGCAGTCGTCAGCATGAAGACAAGTAACAACGACTTCTTTGATGCTCGCATCAGAAAGATTCCTCTTAATATCGATAGCTGATAAATGCCAGATTTAATGTCCATCTACGATAGAGAGCATTTTAAATATTTACACTAATAACCGAAGGAAAAACATGCCATTGGGTTTGTTGATTTCTGTTTACCCGCGCTTTGCTGCCCAGCACCGCGCCTGGAAACTGGAAAAGACTTCAAAGCGAGGCTACCGGGAATATATTATGGTCTAGGAACGAGTGTTCTTTCTCTCTCGCGATCGCGAATTTCCACCAGGTATGCGAAAACTTCCATGAAAAATCCGTCTGCATCGGCTTCAGAAAAGGCGCTTTTAACCTTTTTACTCTCTTTCTCAATAAAACAATAACTGTTCTTCACTTCTGAGTAGTTATATGTTACCTTGTGCCTGGTAAACTGATTTTCATGGCAATTGTTTTGAAACTTGTGTTGA